TTCCGTAGTCGGTTAATCAGTATCCCTTTAAAACCTTTATTGCTTGATTTCCATTTTTAACAGAGAGACATGTTATTAGTTTAAATGATACTTTAAACATAAGATCCACAAAGTCTTATAAAATGTTTTTTAAGAAATGGGCGAGATTAAACTATTTTAATGTTTTTATTAAACCATGTAAAGGAATCATTTATCTATAGAAAAAGTATAAAGGTGCAGGAAGTTCAACGCGATCGGACAGAAACATTTAACGAGTCAGAAAATTCAAAGCAGCATTAGAAGCTAGAAGGTCTAACAGCTGGAGGTCATTTTAACGGACGTTTCTGCCTCTAAAGCTAAACCTTCTCCAGACTGAGGAGTGAAACTTCTGCTCTTCGGTGTGTAAATCACCTCAGAGTATTTTAACACGGACCCGGCCAGGACTTCTCATGCTGGTGTGATGCTGTACCTACCGGAGCCCATGTCGATGAAGGGGTAATTGACGAGCACCAGTTTGTTGAAGTTGAACTTGTAGGTGAATCTCTTCCCTTTGGTCTTGTGGAGGATCCTCTTGTTGTAGTAATATCTGAGGAAAAGAGGACAGAACACGTCACCGTCTGAGAGCTGTTCACCATGTCACCGAATTAAATACAAAGGAACAAATAACTGATGTATGACGACACATGGTGTTTGTCCGATCAGTGTAAAACAGAAAGATACTGAAAGCTTCCTGGAAGACTGTCAGCTTAACTAAGAAAAATTCTACTTTACATTTTTAAAGATATCTGGTGAAAAACAAACTGATTTTAGAGTTTTAAAAGACTGATATTAGTTAACCATGAGTGGACTGATCTTCTAAATGTTTTCTTTTAAAAGCATCATCTCTGTAACCGGCCCGTATTTTTCCAGAACAGTCTCGGTAAAGAAACCAAAGTCTGATCTTTCTCATCCAGAACAGGATTGTTAGTTTTATTGTTGTTATAATATCAGCTGTGCTGCTGCCATCAACACCTTTGTTTCTAGATG